AGGGGAACCCCCCCCCCCCCAGTGCACAAATTTTTGTGCACTGGGCCTCTAGTATATATATGGTTGATTTCAGAGATGAAAGGAGCGGCAGAGGAAGATAGAAAGAAACATCAATGATGACAAAGAATCTGATCAGCTGCTTCCTGCACACCCCCTACTGGGGATCGGGCCTGCAACCTGGGCATGTGCCCTGACTGGGAATCGAATCATGATCTCCTGATTCATAGGTTGACAACACTCAGCCACTCAGACATGACAGCTGAAAAAGTTTGGGAAGCTTTTTATTTCATTTTTAATTTTGAATCACAGCCTTGCTGGGTAGAGTAGTCTTGGTTCCAGATACTTGCTTTTCATTACTTTGAATACTTCATGCCAATACTTTCTGGCCTGTAGTGTTTCTGTTGAGAAATCAGCTGACAGCCTTATGGGAGCTCCCTTCTATGTAACTGTCTCTTTCTTGCTGCCCTTTAGATTCTCTCTGTAACATTTGCCATTTTAATTATGATGTGTCATAGTGTAGGTCTCCTTGTATTCTTCTTGACTGGGGCTCTGTGCTTCATGAGCATGTGTGACTTTTTCTTCACCAGGTTAGGGCAGTTTTCTGTCATTTTTTCTTTAAACAGGTTCTCTATCCCTTGCTCACTTCCTTCTCCTTCTTGTACCCTATGGTGCAGATGTTGTTCCATTTAATTTTGTCCCAAAGTTCCCATAAACTCTCCTCATGTTTTTAAAATATATTTTCTTTCTGCTGCTCTAATTGACTGTTTCTTTCTACCTTGTCTTCCAAATCGGTCTTTTGATCCTCTGCTTCATCATGCTTGCTTTTATTTTCTTCTAGTGTATTCTTGATGTCAGATATAGTATCTTTCATTGCATGTAGTTCTTATTCATAGTTTCTATGCCCTTTCTCGTGCTGATGTAATTTCCCCTGTTAAGTTCCTTGAGCATCTTTATAATCACTACTCTAAACTTTATGTCTGATAAATTGCTTACCTCCATCTCATTTAGTTCTTTTTCTGGAAATTCCTCCTTTCTTTAATTTGGGTTTTTTCCTTTATTTCCCCATTCAGTTGTCTCTTTGTGTTTGTTTCTATGTATTAGATATATCTGCTATTACTTCCAGTCTTTGTTGGGTGGCCTTTTGAAGAAAGTGTCCTATGGGACCTAGTGGTAAGGTTTCCTTGAACTCCTGAGCTGGATGTTCTAGGAGTGACTCCTGTTGTTCGGGGATCCTGATTGTTGTCCCATTCATAGGTGGGATCTCATCTCAGGCTGACTGTGAGGTTCAGCCTCCACCAGAGTAAATGTTCCCCAATTTAGTTCTAATACCAATTAGATTCTGGGAGGTCGTCAGAGAAAGGTTCACTTACTCCACCACCATCTTCCTTCCTCTACCTGAGAGTTTGACAAAACATGCAGGTAAGTTTGAGCTGCTTAAGACCAACTGAAATCATTTTTTTGAGTTGCCGTGCTGTATTCATGAGGACTCCATGGAAGGAGCAGTGTTGGCAGCAACAACTGGTAGGGTGACTTTGAGGAAGACAAAGGGAATCCCACATGTTGGGAGCCAACACTAGCCAGCCTTCTCCCCCAACATAATTGTTTTTAAAAAAATCTTTATTGTTGGAAGTATTACATGGGTACTCCTTTCCCCCTATTAACCTCTTTCAGCCTGCTCCCGTCCTCCCCCACACCAGGCCTTCACCACCCCACTGTCCAGTATCCACGGGTTATGCATATATGCACACAAGTTTATTGGTTGATCTCTTTCCACCCACCCTCCCCTGCCTTCCCTCTGAGGTTCAATAATCTGTTCATGCTTCTACAACTCTGAGTCTATTTTTGATCATCAGTTTATTTGGTTCATTAGATTCCACATATAAGAGAGATCATATGATACTTATCTTTCTCTGACTGGCTTATTTTGCTAGCATAATACTCTCCAGGTCCATCTATGCTGTTGCAAATGGTAAGGGTTTTTTCTTTTTTATTGCCATGTAGTATTACACTGTGTAAATGTACCCTAGTTTTATATCCATTCATCTGCTGATGGGCACTTAGGCTGTTGAATTAGGAAATGTAGCAGGATACAAAATTAAAACCCAAAAATCCATAGCATTTTTACATGTCAATAGTGAACTCTCAGAAAGAGAAACTAAAAAAAAAATCCCATTTACCATTGCAACAAAAAAATTAAGATAT